ATAACCTATATATATTAACTTAAAGTGGCGGCAGCAGAAGATTGACATTCTGTTCTTCTCCTCAAAATCTGTGTTCTATTGCTCTTCCATCACTCTTTCTTCTACATCTTCTTCACTTTCTCTTCTCATCGAACCTAAAATCTCTTAGTGATCAAGACTGAATAGCAGTCTTGAAAAACTACATAACTCAACCTAACCCTCAGTCCCTCACCCAGACTAATCTACCCATACTCAACCTCTTCAACTGGACATTGACAGTTAAAGCAGTTCAATACTCTTCTATAGGGCCCTCCTGTTTAGTTGATTTGATATGATACTCAATGGAACACATTCAAGTTATGGCCAATAACCTTGACCACAGTAGGCTCCAACCTTGTACTGCCTAATATCTTCCATCATGGTTCGCTGTTTTAACTACAGTTCCAAAATGTGTCATTGAGATGCTCCAAATAATTTGGTATTCTAATGAGATCCAAACAACAACAAATTTCAGGTTTTATTTACTATTTCTGGCTTAAACTGTTAAAACCTGATATCCATCCAAAAAAAATGCTAAACCAGGTTAATGCTGATTCTCTCAGATTATAAGTCAGGTTTAATCTTGTATATTCAAAATTCCAGAAAGGCCATAGAGATGACCCCAATACTTTTGTATTCCCATGAGATTCGAAGTATGTGAAATTTTAGATTTTGTTTATTATTTCTGACTTCAACTAGTAAACCAGGTTAACCCTGATTCTCTCAGATTATAACCTGGGGTTCAATCTTGAATACTTGGGGTTTCAATTGGATATGAAATTGTGACCACACGTAGGATGATAATTATTCTAACTGATACATCTATGTATCACTACAGTCACGCATGGAAGTCAGTCTAAACAATCACAATGCAACGGACTCACTGCCAGGCATGCTTGCAAGCCACATCACCAAATCTGTCATTTAAGTGAAATCCATAACTTTTCTCCTAAAAAATGACAAATACAGTTGTTATCCTAAGCTGTTACAACTCACAACTATAAATAAATATTGAGTCATCCAATGGATAAACATGACACAACCTAATCCATCCACTCAAGTTTGACCCAAATGGGTTGCCAACCCATATTAACCTGCAAGGAAGATGAATGGGTTTACATGGGTTACAAGTAGAAGGGTTGAGTGGGTTGGGTCAGAAATTGCCACCCCTATGCATAATAGACAAAAAAATGGTAAATCATAACTTCTAACTTCTATCCTTTTATTGTCCATTTCCTTCAAGGAACAAGAACTAAATTCCATGCTTTATTTATTTGGAAAAGCTGTGTAATGATACACTATCATGGAGGTTGCATGTTGCCATATTGGTACATATAAGCTATCTGCATTACCTCTGAACCCAGTAAACACCCAACTGAGCACTTAGCAGATAGAGATAACAGGAGTTTTTGGCCATTCAAAGAACAATCAAATACTTAATATATCAAAGAGGGATAATCAAGAAACTCAATAAAATATAAACTAAATCACCACAAAAAGATACCTTAACCCAGTACTGAGCTTTGTCGAATGACTCAGGACTTGTTATATCATATACAACAACTGCAACAGCAGCTCCTCGATAGTAAAGGGGTGCCAAAGCAGCATATCTGAGAAAACAGTTTATCAACATAAAAGGCAGTTGATACTTGAAAGTTGATGAACTGAATTTAATTGTGGTGGAAGAGCAAACCATGGTTCAAAATATCAATGTGCCCCTGTGTATCGGCAGGGGCGTATCGGTACTTAAATTGACGCCCTTTTATATTTTTTTTAGTTTTTTTCAAATTTTGGTTTTTGGGAATATTTTTAACCATATTTTTTATTAAAAAAAGGGTGGTTCCCGAAACACCTTGAAATAGGCGTATCAAGCCACCAATACGATACGATACGCCCCATATCGGCGTATCGTAATCAAAATTTTGAACCTTGGAGCAAACAATTAGGGAAGGGAAGAGTCTAGGGCTGTCAATTGTCCAGGTCAACCCAACAGACCCTATTATGTAGGGTCTCATCTATATTTTGAGTCCCAGTTATAATAGGGTCAGGATTGGGTTTACCTGTTCCAAACCGTTTGTGCATATGTATATCTATATCTTTATCTATCTAAATGTGTGTGTGTCAAAGGACTGATATATTCATTCCATTCAAAATTATGGATTCAGGCCATTGAAATTATCATGACACACCTTTCCTGGCCTGCAGTGTCCCAAATTTCAAATTTTACAGTTGTAGAATCATGCAAAGCTATTGTCTGTGACAAAAATGAAGCTCCAACAGTCACCTGAAAACATTGTAAATCAACAAGATAAGCAACTCTACATAACTAAATGCCATGAGTAAATATGTTGGAGAATACTATATTGTAAGCAATAGTAAAAGTAACTCAATCAAGCACTATAGGAAATTTTTTATGCATTGATAAATGCACCAGTGAGGGAGTTATTTGGATATTGGTGCAACCTAAAGGTTCTTAAACATAAGGACATAAAAAAGAACATGGATGCAGGTGCTGAAGGAAAAAGTGAAAGCTCAGTTATTTAACAGAAAGGATGGCCCTACAAAGAGCAGAGTAGAGAACAGGACACCTGCAGCCAACCCACTTGGATGGGATAACATAGACCATCTGATTCTTACCTTGGAATTTGGATCAAACTGTCCACGGACAAAGCGAAGAACAATACAGCTTTTACCAACACCAGAGTCCCCCAGCAGCACCAGCTACATGCAATGTTGAAATATCAGATCAGTTCCATTTAATTATTTTTATTTTTTCAATTGTGAACAAGGAAGACAGTTGGAAATGAGAGTGAGTCATTTGAGCAGTTTCCTTATTCCTAATACTTGCCTACCCACACAACTTGCATGCATTTCATCTAACACCAGCTGATGACAAAGAGCATCTGACAATTCAGAAATGTCGTCCTAATGGCATTTCCTTGCCTCATTTACATTTATTATTTCCTAATATATTTCAATATGCAATTAAAGCACCATGCCAATCAACTTTTCCTCTAGGATAGAATTGAACTATATATTCTTTTCCCATTGAATTTTGCTAGGCTGATCCTGTATCCCATCACTGATCCCAAGAACAAGAAAAAGAGGGGGTTGCATCATGCTAACAACAGGCATAAAAAAATGACAAACCTTTATGAACATGGGTCCAGAATGATTGAGTCATTTTTTCCCCATGATCAGAAATAGAGTATTATAAAAGAGAAAGAGAGAACAGATGCAGAAAATGTCCTGGCTCCAAAAAAGGAAAACAACAAGGTATCCTCAAAAAGAAGTCTCTATTATAATGTCTATCATTCATTTATTTGCTCATGGATTCTTATACAAAAGATGAACCAGCACGGCTCTTTGTGTAAATGAGTTATGTCTTTCATGATTAGATCCCTATGTTCAAACTATACTCTTTGTCACAAGTTGGTAATCCATTTCAAATGTGACTAGGTAGTTGGGAATAAATTCCTTTTTATCAAGAGTTCGCATTAGTAAACCACACTGGCACATTCAATTTCAATAGGATGGTGTTGGAAAGTAGAAGATTGACTCTCTGATTGATTCTCCATAATTTAAGGTCCATCAGTTTAGGAAACTTAATTTCCTAGAATCATGGGATATCTTAGAATCATGGGATATTAATTGGAGAATCCCACTGATATAGAAATTAGTTTTTTAGGAAAAGTTAGTTTCCTATTTTATCACCCTGTAAATTAGCTCTGTAAT